CACACCCTTAAACAAATGAGGGTAACACTAGTGATCACGTGGGTAGGAAGGCCCCTGTAGAATAGGTGTGTTATCGCCCCTTGAATGATAAGCTTCATTAAGTAATTTCGATGGGATCATACGGGGCACTAGAACATGGTCTTTAATGGGACTCGTTTCGACTCACAGATTAATCTGTAATCTGTACATGTTGCTATTATCGCATATATATTATATAATTCATATATTACAAAAATAACAACCACTTATTCCGTCAGGCTTTTGAAATGGTGCGGTTTCGTATTGTTATATTTGAAAGTCTGACATTAAATGTTATCTATATAACAAAACGCCGCAATAGTGTTTTTTGTCAGATTAATTGGTAGCTACATGATTATAAAAAGTCGCAGTTTGATTCAAAAAGGGATGAAATACAAAATGTTGTTTCTGACCCAAAATAATGGCTATTATTATTTTAATTGATTTTGAGCTGACTCTGATTGGCTGAAACAACATCATGTGACCACCTGTAAAAGTAGTTATAAACCTGAGTGGTTTGCAGGTGTTCAAAAAAGTTGGTAGAACAAGTGTTATTAACCTGCTATAAATAGATTCTGTTATTTTTGTGAAGTCATTTAGATGCTTGATTAACACCCTATGGGAGACAAACACAGTAATGATCAAGATTAACACTGAAGTCACTTATTGCAGATATTTAAATGATTATTGCAGATATTTATTTATTTTTCCTTTTTTTTCTGATATTTTTGTTTAGTTGATTTTAAAATTTGTGACTAAAAAAGAATTGAAATTACATTTTTTTTTATTCAATTTTGAAAAAATCAATTAAAATAATAAAACTATTGTAGCATGGTGATTTCGGTCGATACATGGTTTTATCGACCTAGGTTAGCAATATTGACCCGGACTGCGTCCTTGGTCAATATTGCTAACTTAGGTTGATAAAACCATGTATCGACCTCATCACCATGCTATAATTATATATTATTTAAGATATCGCAGAAAGTAATATATATAAACTGTGGCCTGTTTCCAGTACAACCATGAACTTAACATACACCTGTAATCGCACCAATCAAATTTGGTAATAAATGCAATTACACTGTACCATACGGCTGTTCCGTCCTTCTTGGGAAACATAAAACATTCATGCAACAACATATACAGTAATTCATCAAACACAACCACACCTAACGTTCAATGATACTGCAGCTGATCGCCTTCTCTAGAGAAATATTACTTCAAAAGAGCCAAAATTGTTATTCGGAAAAAAACCCCATATGTTCTGATCATATTTGTTCAATAACATGGCGATATAAATACTTGGTGGCCTACTTAAACTGTCTGTTGATGCATTTGAATTATACATGATTCGATTTAGACAGGTATATAAAATCAATTTTGTATTGCAAAATCTGAATTCTTAATCTAATAGCATTGAGACAGACCCTGATGTTAGAGGATGGGTGTCCATTATCTATAGTTTATTTTGACTGCTTGTGCAATAGATATGACCACTCCATCATTTCCGGACCTGGTATCACTGAAGGACGTGTGACAAGTGTGCCGTACTCGTGTTAACGTGCTTCGTTTGTCTTCATTGCTTTATTTGATGAAATATGTGTTTCCGCTGGCAACATGCTGTATTTCCCATAATAGCACTGTAAGTGTGTGTTGACATTGTGCCTTGTTATGATAAGATAACGTACCGACCTCTGATAAAAAATGAAAAAACAATTCCGAAAATCAAACTCAAGTACAAAATTTATGTAAATCACTTTTCAATCGATTCCCCTGACCATTGTTCTAATGTCGATTTCCATTTCATATCAGAGAACCATTCCTTGGCGGTTCTGCATTTTGTTATTATATTTAATGTTTATTACATTGTATCCACATTTATATCACGCATTATCTAATCCCAAGGGACATTACTCTGAACATTTAAGGGATTAAAACATAACTATTATATATTTAGCAAATCAATAGTGTGTGGAAGAAGTAGTCTTGGTCAAGCACACCTTAACACGTGTCCCCCTTTTGTACATTCATATATGTGAAGATATGCATGTTGTGTGAGTTGGAGGTTGTATATAAATAATATCCTTGTTGATTTGTGTCCGTATTTCCAACGGCTCATTTATGATGCTATATCACTATAAAAACAAATCAAAACGATATCAATAAAATTCACTCTAAGTAGGCGGAACGTAGCAACGGCAGTTAAGTGGTGTTAAAAAATCGAACACATTTCTTTGTCTGCGGGACCCGAGCTTACAACCGGACATTAAAAATGCCGGCGTGATATTTTTATAAAACTATGCTTTTTAATCCCATTCAGAATAGTTTAATCGTCCCTATTTCAACGCTTTGTTATGTTATGTACATGTAGGCTGCATAAAAATGTGTGCAAAGAAGTTCAATGTTAAAAGTCAATTTTATTGAAAAAACCCAATTATCAATATAGATTATTTTCCTAGCATACGCTGAGGAAGCTGAGCCGATTGAGACTTGACATAAACGACAGTATAAATGTTGAGAACGTTCTTGAACGGAATGCGTGAAAAACCTCTTATATAGAGTAATGTGAATTGTGAGATTAAACAATTACGATCAATGTAATAGCAATACAGTCCATGTAATAGTGAAACATAATTTCATTAAATGGTGACAATATATTACATCGACAGGACTGGAAAAAAGCACTACTTTCTTGGTCCTAGTGTCTATTTCGTTTGTAACCGAAACGTTTATGTTCACATCATCTGATATGATTATAATGGCAACACAAAATAAAGTCCACATCCAGCAGAAGTCCTCACCACTTACTCAATACTTTTGTATAGAATGCTATAATAAATGACATCAGAGGCAGCGGACGAATCGTATCCCCATAGTTATGGCTAGTGTTAGTCATATGCTCAATAAATATATTATAATTCGTTTGAAATCATTTTTACGTTTCTATGCTTGCAGTGGAACTATCGAATGTTACTCAGAAATTATTGGTGTATATCTTGTGTATCTTCGGTTGGTTTTATTCTGCATTTTGCTTATAGCCACAGAAAATTTGCTTTTTAACATCTTAATTTATATGATGAAGTTAAAGGTAATATATAAGCAGTGTCGACGAACATCACCAGCGATATAGATTTGTAATTTTAAATTGTGAGAAATGAAAATCCCAAGTGATCTGACTTTCACCTTGAACTTTGTATGCTGTATAGCTCCTCAAATGTCTGTGGTTAGTTGATTAACTTTGATTGACGCATGAACGTGGCTGATGACGCAGGTACGTCAGGTAAAAGTTAAACTTTTGCTGATTTCTGAAGAGTATTTTGATGTTTGTGGCCTACAGGGTAATACATTGCAGACATCGCGAGTACTAGTGACTGTGCTATTTAGTAGGTCACAGTGTTACTGGGGCGGGGCAAAGAATAATAACAATATGATGTTATCATTTTCTCATCAACCATGACAGCAGACACATTTTCACACCACAATGGACTATAACGCTGTGTACTGTAACATTTTAGTAATGAGTAATGTTTGATTAACGTCACCAGACATTAAACAGTGTATACTCTACATAGATACATAGATATAGATATGAATCATTATGCAAAGTACATCGCCGCTGTCTTAACGTCGGACTTGGTTACGGGTGTTAGGATTTTCCCTCATTATACGTACATAAGATATGGAAAAGTTTAGGCCAACCCGTTAAAGTAAATAAGGGTTGATCCACTTGTATTATTATCTATCGTTAATTCAATTTTAATGGTACATATATTCATAAAAGTAACAACGTATTACAAGCGTTATAATGACTTTATAATTATAAATGTTAGCATTCTACGAAACATAATTACATAGAAAATCATTATGAGATTGAAAATATAACAGCTTTCAGCCTTTTAAATTACTTTTAATTTCCAAGTTACGTGTGGTCATGCAAAAGAAGGCGCCGGTTAAGTACCAACAATATTAGTCAAACTTGTTAATATGTGTGCAGTCATGTATGGATGCACGTTGAATGAATTAGCTTGGTGCACTTAACTATTATATCATACTTTCCCGAAATTGATTGTAATAGATGGGGATTAAAGCTGGGTGTATACATAGGTATACCTGGATTATTTTTCGCGTCAAAATTTGTTTTAAATTGGCCCTGTATGACAGTTTGAGTGACTGAGATTGTCAATTGTTTTAAAGCTAATTATGGATTATAAAAGTTTCAAATCTATACCAATAAATGCGCATGATTTGAGATATTAAACTCGAATAGCTGAGATATCTTGGAACTCGTTATATCAAATCTAGCGTGTTTTAGCTAATAACAGATAACATAAATGAATGTAACTTATCATTATCAAAAAAGTTTGAAATGTCTGTAGAAATGTTGATATTTTATGTTTATTCTCAGAGAGCGATAATTTTGAATCTCCGATCATGTATTTCATTATTTATGAAAAACCTCTTTTCGCGATAATTATATAAAGTATAAAGTATTAGTATTCAAAACAGAAAATGATTCATTGGACACGTGGAACAGTTTACAGTGTGTAGATGACGAGTTGAGTGATAAAGAAAAAATCTTCATTTTTATTGCGTAGATGGTAATTTCCTACTCTCATACTGATATTAGTGTTTTAATGTCATAGTGATTCAAATACACAGATTTATATGAACGTCATTCATTCCCCACACGGACAGCAGAAAGTCACAGAAAGTACCATTTACGTCACGGCGACACGTTGGTCACCTACCCACAGAAACACTATGATAAAGGTATTACACCACTACCGAGCAATATATACAAACGGTAGTGTAAACAAAACCTCAGGTGTATGTGTGTACACACATATGGCAACCTCCATTAGTACACGCTGTTTTGCTTAAACACTCCTCTGTACTACTAAGATTGCGTCGGGTTATTAATGTTACCTCAAATATTTCCATGTGACTATGGAAGTGACGCGTCACCGACTTTTACCTTCGGTATGGGATCCCCAGGAAATTCTAAAGTTAGCAAAGAGTCATGGCTTGGGAAATTCCCCATGCTAATTTTAATTATAGATTCTAGCAATGTATATAAGAGGTCGATAACGAAAAGTCCTACCAGACCTAAAACAAATTTACAGCTATAAACATTGCCATGCGCTAATAATTCAAGCAAATAGAGAGTTGTACAACAAGAAGAAAACGGAAGAAACTTTGTAACAAAAAAGGTACGTATTGTAAGAATCGGTATTTATCCGTGTGCAAGTTGTTTTGGATTAATTCACAAATATGTATCTTAGAAACTTTTAAGTTAGTTTATTGACTGTAAATAACAACATAAAATGTCACTTTGTCAATACACATTCAATCTAATTAAACGTAGCCTTACATGTCATATTTTATAAGTCATAAATATATTTTTTTTTATCTTTTACAGAAAATAAATATTGACAGTGGGAAGATGACAAACCAGAGACACACATTGGCCCCTGCTGCACACACTAATTCTCAGTGCACAAGTGTAGACCAGCATCCCAGGGTCATGCAGCGTCAATGTTCCAACCCCGCCAACAGTTCAGACCCCACTCGGGTCTACAAGAGTCTCGATGCCGAATCCGGAAAGGCTTTAGCAATGTTCTTTAGAGAGGGATGTTTCAGAGATAGAGGTTGCATCAATTCCAAAAATGTGGACAGATATTTAGCCATTTCGAGACAACTGCATCACAAACAACTGCAGACAGCATGTGAACTTTTTATTAGAAATAACAAGTTGTGTCGCCGCTTAAGTCTGGAACCCAGATCTCATAACGAGGCTGCTCGTTATCAGTTGATGTTCACAAGAAACGGGAGTGACAGGACCTCTACACCTCTCAGTGTCAATTTGTATTACTGTAGGAATAATTTCCAGAAAACTTGTCGGGTGCCCGAACTATCCGGTGTCGGCACGGGATTTGCAGTGTGTTGTTTACAGGACAATAACTATGACGCGCCTCACGTGTACGTATCTGGAGGCGGGAAATGTTTGGGGGACGTGTACCATTGTGACATTGTAATGAACAAGATGAAAAAATGTTCAAAAAGACTAGTGAAGGGAAGATCTCACCACTGTATGACGTGTGTTCAGAACAAACTCTATGTGTTGGGAGGGCAATGTAGCGAAGGGGAGACAATTCGCACCGTCGAGGAATTCGCGCCAAAACGCCATTCCTGGAAGACGGTTGGTAATCTTGACATAGGTGTCCATAGCGCCACGACAGTCGTGCATGGTAACCATATTTATGTGTTCGGGGGAATATTAGACAATGGCAAGGAAACCGCGGTAGTTCAAATGTTTGATCCACAAACGAAAACATGTAAAATTCTGGCAAATCTACCTTTCCCTGTATCGAAAGCACAGGCGGTTGTGCGCGAGGGAAAGATCTTTGTTACGTGCGGTAAAGGACGTCTTGTGTCGTATGATCCAGCTTCAGACCAGCACGACATCTGTACAAACATGCCAGTGTGCTGCACAAACTTTGCGATGTTTAACGAAAAAGAGGGTATCTTCTTTGCTGGAGGAAAGACGCGTAACGACGACAATGCCGTTAAGAACATTTACGTGTACTCACCCGAGGACTGTACATGGCACGTGACAGACAAGGACCTGTCCACTTCACTCAATGTATATGGTTCATGTTCCGTCGAAATCCCGGCGGAATACGGACTTGTTCCATTCTTCAACTGAATTCGGTGAAAAATATTAATGTCCAAAATCTAACTTTGCTGCAATATTAAAGTTCACAGCCGTGCAATATTTATATTTACAGACAACGTTCAAAGTTTTGCATAATACCATTTGTGAAAAAACGTGCAATAGTTCTATTTATTAATTAATTAATGTATTTATTATATCGATGGATATGTTTATTTGGTTCGTTGATCGTTTACACAATGCTAAACAATATTTACAACACATGTTAAACAACGATTTCAATAAACGTACATGTATTAAAACCCAACTCGTTTTGTTGTTATGAATTTATCTTGCATAGTAATACGCACGATGCATGGCTGTAATGCCGAATGAACACAACAAATGTATCCTAACAACTGAGGAATAAATTGCATGTATAGACACTGTTGTTTCTGATTTTATCGGCTGCAATTAAGACGCATAAAGATGAAATTTGAATCAATTATAGATTATTTGGAGGAGAAATAGCAATATGTAGGTACGTGCTATGACGCTGAAAGCAAGCGGATTATGATTTTGCAATTTCTCAAGATGGAAAACTGAAATGCTATATTCTACCTTCATGATTTGGAAAACATATTCCGAAATAAGAAACAGTCTAAACGGAAAAATGAAATATCAATGGTATTTGGAATTTCATCAAATAAAGATATATTGAGGAAATGAAGGATAACTATAAAATCTTGCTTTAGGGAAATCTTGTAGTGAAAATAAGAATTATTGATACATTGGGAAAAGAACTATACTCTGGACCGTGTCAACTCGGAAAAAACCCCGAAAACACATCCACAATAATTAAGGAGATTAAAACACGGGAAAGAATTCCGATCTAGCCTAGCTGTACTGTTACAGCCGGAACATCGTTGCTGGTTATACATTGTTAAAGCCCAGCTAGGTACGGTTTTCTTTTCATATATGATTAATCAAAGCGGGCTAATAGTCTTTTTGGCAGTGGACGGGGATTCTCGTACACATACAGTAACCTCCCCTTATTTTCGTTTTGCATTGAGTCAGGGTATTTTGTACTAGGATCAGTAGTACCCGAAGATAAAAAGTAATAGTATGATGATCTGAGATCCAGGGTGCGAATCCTGGTCTGGCGTTGTTGCATGTTCACACTCAGAGCACCGTTATTGAGTTCTTTGTTTGTATATTTTATCCTTTTTTCATATAAATTATTTTCCATAATAAATATTTTTTGTTTGTTTGAGAGATGCTTTATCATAGGTATAGTCATGCCGGGAAAACAAGTTTCCAACGCGTAATAACGGAGTGACTGACTACAGTACAGAGAAGTCCACATCCATTTCATCTAGTACATGTATCAAGCGCTTATTATATTTACATTACACCGATGAAGCACTAGAAGACAGAACGGTCTAGCGGTAAATCTGACAGATTTATTATTTTATTTGATATAAATATATATATTCTTTATTAGTTTGACATTTTGAAGATATGACTTCCCTCTTTGTGAGATAAATGGTCATTTTAGCGACCGTCTATGTAAGTATTGCTTTGAAAAAACTACTGTTGCATCACCGGAAGTTATACGAGTTGTTGACCTACATCCGGCTTTAACAAAACGTAATGAATATTAATGAGGACAGGACACGAGTAAGAGTTGCCAAGCCAATACATCACGTTGTGGTAACGAGGTTACATCGTGGTTACATCAGCGAGGCGAATGACGGTCACTTCACTAAAATAGATTTTTACTGAAACTTTTTTTTCCAAATCGTCTGTGCTGTATTTTTTTTCTTATGGTAAACAAGGTTACATCGTGATTACATCAGCGAGGCGAATGACGGTCACTTTACTAAAATAGATTTTTACTGAAACTTTTTTTTTCAAATCGTCTGTGCTGTATTTTTTTTCTTATGGTAAACAAGGTTACATCGTGATTACATCAGCGAGGCGAATTACGGTCACTTTTTTACTGAAACATATTTTTCAAATCGGCTGTGCTGTTTTTTTTCTTATAAACTGATTTAGGTTTATTTACGTTTATGCATTTCAACAGATTAATTATACCAGTAAATATAAAAAAAGTGTCAATACAACAAGGAATGGCACGCGTTACTATCACGCGCATAACAACTTACAATGTAACCACTACAATACGGTAAAGGTTGTGTTTGATACTTCCCGCCATTGTTTATTTGTGAAACTCAGTAAAGTACATGACTTCAAAGTGCAAACAGTTATAAGTCAATTTCATTTTAATGCAGATTTAAAAAATAAATAAATCATAGTTTATATTTGTTTAATTGTGTCATTAGGTTATTTAGTGCAGATCCATTAGGTACGATTATAATACCAGATCCTCATTACATGTTAATGAGCGAATACACTGAGTTTTGACAAATGCCTGACGATTTGTTTAATGTAAAAACACATTGAAAAGTTTTGATTGAAACAGTTTCATGCCATTGGTTTACGATTATTTGTGTTCAATTAGTCTGTACGATATGGTATAATATTTCAACCAATTTGTTTGCTATTGATATATATATATATATATTTTAATTTAACCTTTTAGTTTCAGTTTGATAGATAATTCGTGTGAACATCTACTTTTATTGTTGTTTGTCCCTACCTGACTCAAATTGTCGACAGGTCGTAAAGGAGCACAAAACCAATAAGTATATCAACATTTAAGATAACATGATGCTTTGTTTGAAAAGGACACATTCACATGTTTTTTTGTTGATACATGATATGTAGGAATATTGTCATGCAAAAAATAATTTTTAGAAACACACTGTATCTCGTCAGCATCAGATCCTTCGTACATCTATATAAATATAACAACGTGATTAGTACAGGGCGACACATCATCGACCAAGCCGGATCTATGCTCGAGTTATATATGTAAACAGTTAACCGTTTACTACTCTACGTTTATAGATAGTTGCCGATCCCATTTTTGTTTTATCATATATTTAAACTAAAATTTTCCATTGCGCATGCTCTGTTAAACACAGACATTCTAATCAGTGAGTTATTCTCCACTACATCAACTCATAGACCGAATAATCGAAAGTCAATTGACAAGTGCTTAACTAAAAGGCTTTAAAAAAAAAAAAATTGGTAGTGAGGTAGGTAGGTATACTTGTAGGTACATGTAAGTACACTTGTAGGTAGGTAAACCTACTTTCATACCTTCCTACCTACCTACCTACTACCTACCTACCTACCTCCCTACCCTACCTACCTACATATGTACCTACCTACCTACCACCTACATACTACCTACCCTACCTACCTACCTACCTACCACCTACATACTACCTACCCTACCTACCTACTACCTACCTACCTACCTACTACCTACCTACCTACCTACCTACCCTACCTACCTCATTTGTACTTTCCCTATCTGACGTTGACACGCGTGTATAACATGGTACGTTGTGGATAATTATGATAGTATTGAAAGCAAAACAAAAATGTACACAATAACGACATTTGTCACCAATTTACTAACGGTGTGCGAGCAGTATTGACGTAATGGTTATCTTTTTTTCTTCATTAAAAAATATGAAAACATATTTTTGATAATGAGATATATTGCTTATACGTCAATATGTGTAAGCTTATTGTTTTTTTCTGTATCCTCATAAGCTTATATCAATTTGTTTCACAATTGCGATATATTAAATCACATTTACACGTGTGGTCCGTGTGTGTTTTAGTTTAACATTTATAGTACCAGTAGAGCTAAGGTTATAGCTTTCTTCACTCTGCAATTTCTTATCTACGGTACATTTATAGTTTCAGTAGAGCTAAGGTTATAGCTTTCTTCACTCTGCAATTTCTTATCTACGGTACATTTATAGTACCAGCAGAGCTAGGGTTATAGCTTTCTTCACTCTGCAATTTGTTATCTACGGTACATTTATAGTTTCAGTAGAGCTAAGGTTATACCTTTCTTCACTATACAATTTGTTATCTACGGTACATTTATAGTACCAGTAGAGCTAAGAATATAGCTTTCTTCACTATACAATTTGTTATCTACGATACATTTATAAGCTAATAGGAGAAAACAGCTTCAACAAAATACATTTACGTCTATTTATTAAATGTAAGCAAGAGGATTCGCACATATCATTTTCAACACCAGCAATGGTCCCACCTCCAATAGCTGTATCACTCTTACAAACATGACCATAACTGGGCATAATGTAAACACGACTTCATAATGAAAGAAAATATTACAAATAGTAATAGGTCTACCAATGGGATTAACAACCGTTACGCACAATTAAAAATACTCCATTATTATATTTTTTGTGCAGATATTGATAACCAGATTATAATAAATCTATAATTATTTTCTTTCAGACACTCAAGAATCTGTCGGCAATAATTAGGGCATTTTCATTTGGTATCCAAGTTTGAGATGGGTATCGATTATTGCTGGTAATTTGGATATATCATTGTCATCGTTTTCTTTTTTTGATCACAGAACCGACGGATCGAGGCCACTGTGATAAAAGGAACGCTATACATGGAGACCCTTTACATGGAGACCCATGGAGACCCTTTACATGGAGATCCTTTAAAAGATATTATATTGATCATTTTGAATCAGTTTTATAAGGTCACCTGAGACAAAGTCTCAAGTGACCTATTGCGATTGCCTTTTGTCCAGCGTCGTCCGTCGTCCGTCGTCCGTCCGTAAACAATTTACATTTTCGACTTCTTCTCCAAAACCCCGGAACCAATTTCAATGAAATTTCGCAGAAACCTTCCATGGCCAAAGGTCAATCAAAAGTGTGAATTATATGGTCCCAATCCGCTGGGGCCCGAGGGGCGGGGCCAGAAAGGGTTGAATTGACTAAAATTTCAAAAATCTTCTTCTCAAGATCCAGATATGGTAGAATCAAATACTCTTCATAGATGGAAGGATCTTACGGTGCTTTACCAAAATAATGAATTTCATGTCCCTGGGTGTCTCACGTAAACTTTACTATAGTTTAATTGTGAATTATATGATCCCCAGCCCCCAGGAGTCTGAGGGACAGGGCCGAAAAGGGTCAAATTGACAAAAAGTTCAAAAATTTCTTCTCAAGATCCAGATATGGTAGAATCAAATACTCTTCATAGATGGAAGGGTCTTAAGGTGCTTTACCATAATTCAGCTGACTGACAGAACCACTATTTGTTCATAGTACATATACTTCCCAG